GGTTAGTTCCTACCAAAAGTGGTGCAATGAAGGACAACCGGTGAACTGGCATCAGTATCATGGACACCCAAGGATCATGGTCAGTGAAGGCTTGCTTGTCTGGTCTGATCACACAGACGAGCTACTGTAACTCAATTTGCTGAAAAACTAAAATGCGTGTTGTTTACCTGATAATAGAACAAACAAGAGGCTGTGCAAAAAGTTGCTATGTGCACACCAAGGTGCTACTCGTATTTTATTGGAGGACAGAATATCACAAACATTTTGGGTATTCCCCTTCTCAATGCATCATATTCCCCCTCCTGTTGTTTACCTGAGGAAACCTGAAGTGGCAGTAGGATGCACTATGGGAAGAAGGCAGGCCGGCCGGCCGAGGTAGTGTTATGCTCTGGGCAATATTCTGCTGGGGAACCCTGGATCCTGGCATTCATGTGGATGTTACTTTGACACGTACCACCTACCTAGAAATTGTTGCAGACCATGTACAGCTCTTCATGGTCTGCATTCCCTGATGGCAGTGGCCTCTTTCAGCAGGATAATGCACCCTGCTACACTGCAAAAATTGTTTAGGAGTGGTTTCGGGAATATACCAAAGCGTTCAAGATGTTGTCTTGGCCTCCAAATTCCCCAGTTCTCAAGCACCTGTGGGATGTACTGGAACAACAAATCCAATCCATGGAGGCCCCACCTCACAACTTTCAGGAATTAAAGGATCTGATACTAATAACTTGGTATTGAATACCACTGGATACGTCCAGAGGTCTTGTGGAGTCCATACCTCGATGTATCAGAGTTGTTTTGGAAACATGAGGGGGAACCTACACAATATCAGGTAGGTCGTTTTAATGTTGTGGCTGACCAGTCTATTTGTATTCAGTATGGCTGCTATTAGGTTTTTAATCAGTTCCACTCATAATATGTGATGTGTGGAACTGTGGATAAAGGCTGGACTACTTGTCCCTATTACCTCTACTGGACAAATGTTTATGGAACAGGGGGGAAAAAAACACGTGACCAGAATCAGAAGTTATTGATAGGTGGAATCAAAATCATGCAAATTAATTAATGTACATTAACTTAAACCAAGACCCCATGAGTTCTTTAGTGAAAAAAACATTATGAAATACTTATAAAGAGTAAAATATACAACATGACAAAAGTAGAAAAACCTTTCAAAAAGGGGAAAAAAAGACAATAAAACCGAGGCTCAATGAGTTTTGCATCTGTCTCACTGCATTCTTAATAGCTCACCTACGTACAAGGGTTTAGAAGTCAACCTCGAGAGATGTGGTCAGTCTTTTTTCCCTAATATTTGTTTTCACATGCAGGGTTAAAAATTGCCCAGCATTTAGGGAAGAACCTTCTCCACACTGCAAACCACTACCAACCTCCCTCCTGCTCTGTGCTCTACCCCTATTTTTGCTGTGTTTTGCTTAGTAAACAATTACTTTTTTATTACCATCACCAGCTGCTTAGAAGCTGTTTATGGGGTATGTATGGTACCATTTGTAGACAATCGGAAAGGATAGTGTTAGCTGTCATCAGTATTAGTCTGGTCAGGGCATTATTAAGTATTAAAAAAAAAAACTAATTTTTTTTTTTTTTTTTTAACCCTTTTACTGAAAACACACAATACTGCTGATTATGGCCTCAATTTAAATAAACTTTCCAAATAATTCGATACTGTTAGAAAAACTTTCCAAATTATTAATCTTCTGAAGTATGTGGAATTTTTTTAGATAAATCATTTGGATAATTTTTCTAACATGATTGAATAATTTGAAAAGCGTATTAAATCAAGGCCAATATTGATGCCCTCTAAATGCAACACAAGCTTAATTTAAAGTAATTGCATTGAATTGAATTTCAGACTATGAAACAATTATTCAGTTCTTGAATTTGGCCACAGTGTGGCAGCGCTGATTCAGTTTATTCACATAATACCTTTTCTAAACTGCAGATTTTTTTTAAAATTCTATATTTTTTGTGTGCATAAGATTAACAGACATTCTTGCAATGCCCCAACAGCAATGGCAAGACAATTAACGGAAGAAAGCATAACAGCTACAAGGCATTTGAGTGTACTGCACAATTTTTAAAACTGGTATAAGGTACATGCTAGGCAGAACATGTCTAGAGGAAATATTGAGAGAAAGCTTCTACTCTATGCAAGCAAGTTCATAGACATGTAAATAGAGATAGTAAAGGACCACTATAGGCACCCAGACCACTTCAGCTTAATGAAGTGGTCTGGGTGCCAGGTCAATCTAGGGTTAACTCTTTTTGCTGTAAACATAGAAGTTTCAGAGAAACTGCTATGTTTATAATAGGGTTAATCCAGCCTCTAGTGGCTGTGATTTTCACAGTGAGAAGACGCCAGCGTCCATAGGAAAGCATTGAGAATGGACTGGCTGAATGCGCGCGCGGCTCTTGCCGCGCATGTGCGTTCAGCCGATGACGGTGAAAAGGAGGAGGAGAGTTCCCCGTGCCGAGGGAGCCTGGCGGGGGAAAACAGGTGGCGGGGGAAAACAGGTAAGATTTAACCCCTTCCATCCCCTAGAGCTCAGCGGGAGGGGGACCCAGAGGGTGGGGGGGACCTAGAGACCCTATAGTACCAGGAAAACGAGTGTTTTCCTGGCACTATAGTGGTCCTTTAAAGTAGGTTGTGAAACATGCTTATGGTAGTGAGATATAGTATTAAAAAACTAGATTATAGGACATGCAAATAATCTGCACAGTTTTTTTAAGAAAATGACATGCCAAGAATATGAGTACTAGAAAGATGTATTCCCCAGGAGGCCCTTTAGCACGATGCATAGTAAAAGGAATAAGTATGAGAGGGAAAAAAAGAAAAAGTTAAGACAGGGTGCTTATAAAACAAACATTGTTTCATCCACAGAACCAGAGGGTGTGATCAAGGGAGAACTCTTCACCATGCAGTCCGAGTGCTCAAACTATCCTATGCCAGCCAATGGCTTAGCAGAGTCATGTAAACTAGGGTTGAAGGGCAGGCCCCTGTGCCCCAGAGGAAACTGGCAAGCTTAGCCAGGTGAAATCCCTCTTTTACGTTTTACCTGGCATTTTATCGTCCTGGGCTCCAAGTAATCCTAGGTGGGGATCATACCACTAACGCTATCATCAAGGAGCAGTTTGCCTGCTCCTCTTTTGTGAGTACTATTTTATATATATTTTAAATACCATTGTTTTATCCAGTAAGCACTATTGGTTGTCTCCTTTTACCCTTCTTTTTGAGTGTTGAACACGCCCCTGATGCAGGAAGTCTACCCCTTACCCCATAAGCGGGGATTGTACCACTGTACGCTCTTCACACTAGAGCTAGCTATAGCTCTAATATATGTGAGTTTATTACCATATTTCTATCATTTGTTATATTAGACTGGACATAGTACACTATTTGGTTCTCTATTTGTTTTATCTTTTCATATGAGTGGATCTGCCTGGGACATTGCTCCTGACCAAGCACTTTATGGACTATCTGATCTATGTAAGATCATTACAGTTAAGACTCTTTTATTTGGATTACCCTCCTATTTTTATTATTAAATGGTATAAGGTCTTTTTGACACAGCCCTTATCTCTCTTTTCTATTATTCTTGTCGTACTCTAAGGGTTTCTGAGGGATTCCCTTATAGGGTTGCTGCCCCCACTTGTTACTGAGCGCTTACTCTTTTCTCTCGTTTTACCCAATAATAAATAGGGCAGTGACTACAACCATAAATAACACATAATAAGATATATAATAATATATAACACGTACCCAGTAAAGTGCCAAACGATTTACTTAACAGCCCAGTGGTGAGGGTTTACCCAGATACCCCCACACCTCCGAAGTTCTGATCCACCTACAGACTCAAAACTTCCCAACACCATAAACAACTGTATAACCCCGATTCTATATCACCACTCCTTTTTACCCACCTCTTCCTCATTTTCTGTTATTATTATTTTGTTGTTGTCAATCTGTCATTTATTGAAGGCATATAAAATGGGGTACATAAGAAAAGCAAGGGAAATGTATGAGTGATTTACAGCATAGTGTTGATACATCACTTAGCAACATTGAGTTACATTTCCAGGATAGCGATGCCTCATGTTTTAAATTTTTTGCTGTTAAACTGTAGGTTGAAAATACAAGCTATGAATCATAAGGTCCTGTTTATTAAAGGCACAATAAGTAGATTAATCAAGCATAGGTAACATTACCCTGTGTTGGGCAAGCTGGTTGGTTAGATGCATGCCTACTGAGTATGTTAAAAGATTTAAACGATAAGCTATACCAAGGGATCAGTATATTAACATGCTAGGCATAAACAGTATTCTACATATATAGAAAATGAGAGACATACAGTCTTGTGTAGCAACCTCAAACCAGAGCTGTCTATGCACAGAGTAGGTTAAACATCAAGGTTCAAGATACGCTAAAACAGTTGTTTTTCTGGATGTGTATCTATGACTTCAGAACTAACTGTATAATAAAACAAATAGAAATAAGAGATAAACAATGCTTAAGCTATGCAATTGGTTTTAACTATGTCAGTTAATAAAAGAGAGCAACAGGTTGCATAGATGGTACAAGTGGGCTACGGTAAAGGTAACAATTAAAAGCATAGCGTTGCATCATGTATAAGTAGGACATAAAGAAATAAAGAAGGTGAGAGGAGAGAGTTAAACAGTGTTGCGTGTTCGCAAATCAGTCCCGCTCAGCCCATGCCGGTTTGCGGCATGTTGTCATCAGGAGTGGGAAGGCAGAGGGTGTCGGAGCGGCAATTGCGGGGCGAGGACCCCCTCCAGGCCCACATCGAGGGTGGCATCGTCTGACCACTGGCTCGAAGGCTCTGTGAGTTCGAGGCATTCTCATATCGGGTGCAGATGGAGCTGGTTCCCTGTCGCCGTCAGCGCCGGCATTCCTCCTGCAGGATGGTCGATGCTGTGGAGGCCGTTTCCTCCTGGCCCCCAGCCTGGGCGGGCTGCATGCTTGCGTGGTTTACTTGGGGATAGTCGCTGTGCCCGGAGTGGGGTGCCTCTTCCCTCGGTTCCCCGCTCCAGTCTTGCGGTCTGGCTGCCCTTGTGGTGGTACCTTTCTCCACACTCCGTGGGCTTCAGTCCGCTCTTATGTGGCTGGGATTGCTGGTTTGCCATCGGTGCTTGCAGCCTTTTTCCTAGCCTGTGCCAGAATCGGGCAAAAGCTGCATCTATATGCTGTTGAATGTCGCTGTGATTCTCCATCTCAGGTAAGCGTTTTGGCTTGTATGGTGTGCTTGCCGCCGCCATTTTGAGTATGCCATGTGCTCGGCTGCCCTGGTGTTGCGGTTCATCGTTTTGTATGTTTGGCTTAGGATTGCCATTCCAGTCGCTAGGTGTGGACCGAGATGACCCCCATCGGTCCAGAGGGGTGGTAGGAGGTGACCCTCTCAAGGGATCCATGTCCAGGTCAGTCAGCCTGGGGAGCGGCCGTCTCCCCGCTGCCCAATCTCCGGTAGGCCTCAAGGCATTGTGTGGGGTCCCCGGGGGGTTACAGGCTTGATTTTGGTGTCCCCTTCATGCTGGTTTCTCTCCAGTGTGCGATCGTGCCGTTTTTTGGGGGGATTACCCCCGAAAAGTGCAGAGTGTAGCGGGAGCTGAGGTTCAGCACAACCGCTCTGCCTGGATGCTAGGCTCCGCCACCTCTTCCTCATTTTCTAACTCCAAACTCCCTATCCTCCCTATCCCCCACCAAAAAGGATCCCCCCCCACCGGACGCTTTGCCAAGTATCTTGTCACTGCGTCGACTGGGCAGAAGGGGAACCACGGAAAAGCGTGTAATTCTATATCCTTACCTTTCTCTCGCACATCCGTTTTCAAACAGGTTAAAATGAATGATCACCCTGTCTTCAACCACCGAGACGTCGCTCCACTGCACTCCTCCCCCACCTTCCCAATTGGCACTAACCAGCTCACTTACCTGAAACACCCCGAAAAATGCTAGGCGATACACTACTATATGCATCTGGCACCCTCCGACCCCTGCAGAAGCCCTCCAGCACCTGTCTAATAATTAAGTGTTTTGTCAGGTCCTCCCATCCATGGAACTTAAACAAGAAAGCCAACGCCGCCATGTGCCTGTCAATGACTGGCGATGACGAGACATTCCTTAGCAAATCGAATGTAAACCATAATAGTGCATCCAAATGGGAACCCTCTGAAACTGACCCCTTTTTCTCAACCAACAACCTCTCCCACAAACCTTATTCTATGCAGACCACGTTCCCGGAATCACGAATCCCCCAAGCAAGCGGTCCCAAGCAACCACATCTCCTCCCAGACCCAATAATAAATGTAACATTCACTAGGAAACCCTAACTTACAGACAGGACAGAGTAGAGAGAATTGCAATACCGATCCTTAGAATGGTCGGGTTATCCGAAAAGGGATAGTCAAAACACGAGCCAAGATCAAGGGAAATAGAGAGATGGAATAACAAGAGACAAAGCCAAATATCAGTAACCAGAAAATCCAAATAATAACAAGTGTAAAGCTCAATGGTTAACCAAAGACCACAACAGGGCACAGAGGCAAGGGAGGGGTTAGCTTATATGCACACAGGGTGTGTCTGATTGGCTAATTTCAAATTAGTGTTAACTACAACATGTGGGAGGAGTTTCTTTCCTCCCTTGTGGTCTCTGAGGTCATCACTGTGTGCCAGGTCACATGACCGGGTGCAGCACACATATATAAGGAAGCTGCTCTGGAGCGTGCAGCGTCAGACACACTGCCAGTCTGGAGACAGGAACCAGATGATGCCACTCGCTGTGATGAGGTAAGCAAGGTCGCTGCAAGCAGCGCAGGGGCAGGGGACCTGACAATAAATAGGGCAGTGACTACAACTATAAATAACATATATATATATATATAATAATATATAATACGTAACCAATAAAGTGCCAAAATATTTACTTAACAGCCTAGTGGTGAGGGTATACCCGGATACCCCCATACCTCTGAGGTTTTGAGCCTCCTACGGACTCGAAACCTCCCAACACCATAACCAACGGTAAAACCCCAATTCCACTGCATGCCTCCCCCATCTTCCCAATTGGCACTAACCAGCTCACTTACTCGAAATACGCTAGACGATACACTACCCCAAATAGCAGTGCTTCATAGTCGCTAAAGCAAACCTCAGGCAAAATCTGAACCAGATCACCCAAAAGTCGTATGAACACGGGTCTATGCGTATCTGGCACACTCCGACCCCTGCAGAAGCCTTTCAGCACCTGTCTAATAATTAAGTGTTTTGTCAGGTCCTCCCGCCCATGGAACTTAAACAAGAACGCCAACTCCGCCATGTGCCTGTCAACAACCGCCGGCGACGAGCCCTTCCTCAGCAAATCGAATGTAAACCATAATAGTACATCCAAATGGGAACCCTCTGAAACTGACCCCTTTTTCTCAACCAATTACCTCTCCCACAATCCCCAAACCTTACAATATGCAGACCACGTTCCCGGGGCCAAGGACGACCTCACGAATGCCCCAAGCAAGCGGTTCCAAGCAAGTGGTCCCAAGCAACCACATTTCCACTGGGCACGATTCCCTGTCCTCCCACACCCCAGGCACCTCCAGCCGAAACCGGGACCACTGCGAATGAGAAAAGGCATCAACCACATTGTTCGAATATCCGGGAACATGCCGCACGCCTAAAACAATGTTGAGAGACATACACAGCAAAACGAACCACTGCGGATGTGCACCACCGGCCCCGAGGTTGCTGACAGATTGTTGACTGCGCACACCACGGCCATATTGTCCGTGTGAAACACGACCTTCTTGTCCTTGAGCAGAGGCCCCCAGAGTTAGAGAGCTGCCACCAGTGGGAAAGGCTACATTGCGTATTAGCGGCTTTCCCATCCACGACCCTGTGCATTACCACTGAAGAATGCGCCAAAGCCCACGCTCCCCGAGGCATCTGTAAATAATTCCAAGTCATACACTGATTTTGCTGGTTCCCGAAACAACATCGTGCCATTAAAGTACCGCAGAAATGTTTCCCAAACCGCGAAATCCTCCTTCATGGCCGCAGTAACCCCTACAAAATGACGAGGCAACGGCACTCCAGCTGTAGCCCGAGCCAGCCCTCTACTGAAACCCCCCCCCCCAGTGGGAATCACCCAACAAGCAAAGTAGAGCTTGCCAAGCAAAGATTGCAATGTCTGAAGTGTGACCTTCTTGGCCTGACGCACTTCCCCCACCACAGCCCAAAGTCCCTCGAGCTTGTCCCCAGGCAACCGACAGTCGCCCAGTGCTGAGTCAATTTCCAGTCCCAAGAAGAAAATTATTATTATTACCATTTATATAGCGCCAACAGATTCCGTAGCGCTTTACAATATTATGAGAGGGGGGATTTAAAGGAGCACTATGGGGTCAGGCACACAAACAATCATTCCTGACCCTATAGGGTTAAAACCACCATCTAGCCACCCTGGTCCCCCCGTGCCTCTAAAAATAAAGTCAAATCTTACTTGAATTCAAGCCTGCAGCTGCATAGTTTGTCCCTGTTTCGTTTAGACCTGCCCACTGCCTGCTGACATCATCAGAAGTGGTGGCCTGAGCCAATCACAATGCTTCCCCATAGGATTGTCTGAGACCGAAAAGGAGGCAGATCAGGGGCAGAGCCAGCACAATTCAAACACAGCCCTGGCCAATCAGCATCTTCTCATAGAGATGAATTGAATCAATGAATCTCTATGAGGAAAGTTCAGTGTCTGCATGCAGAGGGAGGAGATACTGAATGTTTGGATGCATTTTAGGCAGCCATGACCCAGGAAGGATCTCTAACAGCCATCTGAGGAGGGGCCAGTGAAGTTATCACTAGGCTGTAATGTAAACACTGCATTTTCTCTGAAAAGACTGTGTTTACAGAAAAAAGCCTGAAGGTAATGATTCTACTCACCAGAACAAACTCAATAACCTGTAGTTGTTCTGGTAACTATAGTGTCCCTTTAACAATAAATTGGACAATTACAAGAAAACTTACAGGAACAATAGGTGGAAGAGGACCCTGCTCAAACGAGCTTACAGTCTAAATCTATGTCGTCCTTAACAGACGACCTCCGCGGGTAAGACAGGTGATGGATCATACGGTACTTTCCTGGTTGCTTCTTGGGCACAATACCCAGCGGGGAGAGCCGCAGCCTGTCCAGCGGGGGGTCCCTAAATGGACCCGCCATCCTACCCAACTGCGCCTCCTTCATCAACTTGTCCCATACCACTCCAGAAAATTCCAATGCAGACTTCAAATTACGCAACCCCCCAATCCCTTCCCTGTCAGGGAAAGGGATAAGAAGCCCATGTAAGAAACCCGACCTCAGCAATTCCGATCCCCTTTTCCCCTTTGTTATCCTAACGGTTTAGCCTCACCGGCGTGTGCCCAGCAGCAACAGGCCCTGGACTCGCGACTGCAGACTACCCGGCAACCCCCCCTTTTCTCTCCTTGAAGCATCTATGCAGGCAGTGGCTCCCCCCCACAGCCTGAACACTTGTGGCGGATCCAACAGGCGTGTTACCACGGCAACGCTCTGACTGAATCTCACAAGATACATGGTTTGTAGCTCTGCACCAGGCGGAGCTGCAGACCGGCAGCCATGGCCACCAGGGAGCCCACCGGACCACCAGGGAACGTAAAAAGGTATTTAATCACCCCCATCCCTCCCACAGCATTAACCCCCTCCCTCCCAACAGCATTAACCCTCACCCTCCCAGTATTCCCCCCCCACAGCATTAACCCTCTCCCTCCCAGTATTCCCCCATAGCATTAACCTCTCCCTCCCAGTATCCCTCCCACAGCATTAACCCTCTCCCTCCCAGTATCCCTCCCACAGCATTAAGCCTCTCCCTCCCAGTATCCCTCCCACAGCATTAACCCTCTCCCTCCGAGTATCCCTCCCACAGCATTAAGCCTCTCCCTCCCACGGTATTACCCCCTCCCACAGCATTAACCCTCTCCCTCCCAGAGCCTTAACCCTCTCCGTTCCAGAGCATTAACCCTCTCCTTTCCCACAGTATCTCGCCACCCTCCCAGTATCCCCCCACAGCATTAACATCCCTCCGTCCCAGTATTAACCCCCTCACTCCCAGTATCCCCCCTATAGTATTACCCCCTCCCTCCCAATATTCCCCACTCACACCATCACCCCCTCCCTCCCAGTATCCCCCCACTGTATTAATCCCTCACAATATTCTCCCCCTCACAGAATCACCCCTTCCATCACAGTATTATCTCACTGACCCACACA